ATTCAGCAAACATTTATTGAAGACTTGATCTATGCCCCAAACTGTGATTAGTCCTAGGGATACAGATTTGACTCAGACATAGTTGATCAGAGACTCTTTTCCTTTCCCTTAAAATTGGGAGCTTGAGGACTTTTGGCATCGCCCCGTAGCTGCTGATCTGCTCATGATGTTTGTGCAGTCTAGATGCCTCTGGTAGGTTTGGCTGCTGTCTTGAACAGATCATCGGCTCCCTGCCACAAGGCTTGAGCTGAGGTTGGAGATCTGCCCTGAGTGTTTGCAGCTGTAACTGAAGGCCTATGACCTTGTAAAGTGAATAGAACTGTATTAGCAAGGGAAGATCTCAGTTCTTAATATGGGCATTTTGTCAGTCTGTGGTCCGGGAGAGAGAGAGCCCTGTGTAGGAGGAAAGAGCACAGAGTTAATAGGAATTTTTACAGCTGCCGCCCTTATCTTTATAGACTTCTGGTCAGAGCGGGAAGAGGACTGGGGTGGAGGAGAGTCACTGCTGGGCAGGACAGCTTTGCTTGTTTACTGCCCCAGGGCATAGAAGTAGGACAGGGGTAGATGACGTGTGGCTATGTCTGGGTGTGCTTCTAAATGGGGACAAACTCAAATACCTACAGGTTCAACTAGGTAATACAAATGAGTGAAGTGGATTAGAAATAGGAAAACATTCTTTCATTTAATATGTAATTGCATCTTACAAAAGTATCACATTTTGTTCCCACTTAACATATTCATTACTTTTCTCTATGCTTTTGAATGCAGGCTTCTTACAGTAGTTATTAGTTCTTTCAGCACAGACACCCTTTGTTTGCATATTGAACACAGGGAAGTCATAAAAACGAGTATAAAGAAGAAATTACTTTTCTGTTTAAGACAAAAACAGTGCATGAGGCATGCTAAATGGCACAGGGCACTGGAAGTCCTTCTGGGGAGGTAATAGGGTGTGGTCGGGACTCTGGTGAGCTGGAGAGTGTGTGTGCACCGAGGCTAAAGGGTCAGCTGCATGCAATCTCAGTTGCCACGCAGGAATGTGGTCCCTGTGTTGTTAGGTCTTTTGATCTTTTAAGAGAATCTGGGAATCTGGAATTTTGTGTGAAACCTTCAAATTCTTGGATTCTGGGAACTAACTTGAAAATGCTGAAGATATTTTGCTAGCGAAACAATACAACTGTGGGCTACCTATGAGCCATCTGTGGGCTGCCATTTTCTGAGCTTTTCTCTAAGAGGATGGTTTGTGAGCAAGAAAAATGGTATTTGAATAAAGCTAGTAAATGTAGGAAGAGAGGAGGTATAGGTATAAAAATCACAAAGTAAAAGCAAGAAAGAACTGGGCAAACATTTGTGGTGAAAAATATTAAGCTATTAGAAATCATTTATTGAAGATTACTTAAGTTCAAATAATCTATCCATTTATTACCTGCTGTACTGATTCTTTTATTCCTTGTGTTGTTTGTCCTGTTGGGTTATAGGATAATGATGATTAAAAAGAAAAAAATTATTAAAGTTTGCCTGTATTATAACAATAGGGCACTCCTGTTTTAAAAAGAAAAGAAAGAAAAACAAAACAGAATTTTATGGAGTCAAATTCCCCTCTTGCCATCCCATTCCCTGAATCCTTAGATGTACCCACTGTGAAGAGTTTAGGGTCTATTCTTACAGGTAATTTCTTTTTAATGAAGTTTTTAAAAATTCCTTTTTATGTTATCAATTGGTTTGTTCACCAAGATTATATCTCTATATCTTTCAATTGAGTATAAATATTTTTTCCCAAAATTCTAAGGGAAGTTAAAGTAAAAATCATGTTTGAAGTAAGACTGTTTACATAAACTAGTAATTTAAAAAGACATAAAACAGAGGCAAGTAGGTATACAAATTATCTGGCCTAACATATTTATTTATTTATTTTTTTATGTTTTTGTCTTTTTTGAGACCGGCCGCACTGCGCTCAGCCAGTGAGTGCTGTGAGCGCACCGGTCATCCCTATATAGGATCCGAACCCGCGGCGGGAGCGCTGATGTGCTCCCAGTGCTGCACTCTCCCGAGTGCGCCATGGGCTCGGCCCCTAACATATTTATTTTAATTAAGAAATAAATTTATTTTAAGATTCCTTTCAGCCACGACAGAAGACCACTGAGTTTTATCTTTCCCTCCTAAATGATACTCACTTCAAACTTTTTAACTTCATGAGCTGCCTTTTTGATCCACCTTCCAGAACAGTCTCTGCTATCAGAACATTTTTGTTTTACAAGATAGCAATTCAAAAATAGAGTTGAAATGTTAGAAGAATCTTGTGACAACACATACACCTTTGTCACAAGTCTGAACTGGCTACATTTAGTCACATTTTAAAAGTTAAATGACTTGTTTATGTGGGGACTGGTTTACATTTTCCAAGGCCAAAGGGAGCAAGTATTTTATCTAAAGAATGGGCAAATGTGAGATCAAAGTACAAGTGCTTTTTTCCACATTCTTCACCCTGGCGTCTGTGTGAGTTAGTACATATTTTTCTGTTTGAACATTTTCCTTGTTGCATTTTACTGGGAGAAAAGTGCGTGCAAAGTTCTTGAAGTAATTATATTCAAAATTGTCTTAGATAATGGTTTTCCTTAACTTGGGCATGCAATTGTAGTGATGACAATGCAAAAGTTAATCTAATTAAATAGATTGAAGATGTAAGAGAACAGATACATTTTACAGTAACTGAAACACTTCAAGAGAAATCCATGTTTTGAAGAACTAATTTTCAAACACCTTACAATAAATGATGCCTAATAAGCAGGACATAGTCACATATTAAATCATACCTAAGGGAATGTTTGAGCTTAATGTGTGTGTATGTGTGTATTTTTTTTTCCAGAAAAAACAGTTGTCCAATGATAGATTTAATTTTTTATTTAGTACTGTGTATTGACTAAATAGATACACATCTTCTTAACTATTAAATCTAAGGTATTTAAGTAAAAGACACTACAGTGAAAAGGGACTACATTTTAACATCTATTATTTGTCAGCATTTTATTCATTTAATCCTCACCATTCCTCAGTAAAA